ACCACATGCATTTTTTCAAATTTAAAGTAGACATGTGGCACTGACTAGTATTCTGAGACCAATTTCAACTATTTGCTTTGGCATTATCTTTTCTTAGACTATTTCTGGGCTGCCTCAGCATCCTGAGTTAATGGTCATGGTCAGGCTTTCACCTTTGACTTTGTGTTTATTTCTTTAGTTCCCCCTTTAGTTCCTCCTACATTGCATGCATTTTTTCAAATTTAAAGTAGACATGTGGCACTGACTAGTATTCTGAGACCAATTTCAACTATTTGCTTTGGCATTATCTTTTCTTAGACTATTTCTGGGCTGCCTCAGCATCCTGAGTTAATGGTCATGGTCAGGCTTTCACCTTTGACTTTGTGTTTATTTCTTTAGTTCCCCCTTTAGTTCCTCCTACATTGTAAATACTAAGAAAGAGGAGAGTTCATTTGCCTTCTGAAGAACATAAATGTGGCCAAAAAAGAACATTCAATTAAGGTCTGCAAGTGGAAAGGAAAAACACACAGTCATGCTCTCTCTGTGGATACTGTTTGTGTCTGCTCCAGGCTCTGAGCAAATGGCTCTGCTAACTTCCTACAGTAGAGATGAGACTCCTAGAACAGGGAAAGCGGTTCCCCTCTGCCATAACATTAAAAGGTCTGGTTGTTGGATTTTTGTTTGTTCTTTTTTTCTTGATCCTACTAAGCAAGTGATTTTTCATGAAATAGAACAATGTTTTGGATTTGGTTCAATAGTAGCCATTGAGTGTTACTTGGTGCAAGAGAGCTAATTTCAGGTAATGGAAAATCTGGTTTCTCTGATGTGCCTGGGACAGCATATTTCTTGTCTGGGTTCCAGGTCACCGAACCCTTCTCTCAGCATGGGTGTGACCAGCTAGTTAGTGTGTTCCTTTCTGGATATCTCCTTATGTTTATTCCAGCTTTCATTCTACCCTCATTTTTCTAAAGCAATTTTGGTAATTCTTTCCTTCCCTCCTGATAGATTACTGCACAACCAACATCAGGTTGTTTCCTGTTACTGAATTTCCAAATTAGTATTTATATTTACCCTTAAATTGTATCCTTTTCCCTTTTGCTGACTCCACACTGACTCAACATCAGTCTATTTTCCAGACCTGCCCCCAACCCCACACTAAATGATTATTTCTTTCTTAGGTTGCAGAAAAATAGATCTAAATGGAAGGTTTTTAATATAGAATTATTAAATTGTGGGCTAGAAACTGAGGCCCTTGCGACCCTAAATCATTCTAGACGTCCCCAGAAAGGGGTGGATGTGAACTTGTTCTCTAATTGGTTTTACTAGACATGTGCTTCTCATCTCAGACTTCTCTGAAGAGATTTCTGAGGTCCCAGGTTAGGGTTTAGACATCAGGATGGAAAACTCCTGAACAAGAGAAGCCTGACTGTGCCCGTGGGTTGAAGGACTGGAGGGGAGCACTGTGTAAGACCCGCTCCAGCTCATGTGTTTAGCACGCCATCTATTGGCCCCAGGTGGAGGAAGGAAGGGAAGCCTGAGATCCCTGGAAAGAAAAAAGCCACTCAGGGTTCAGTGACTTCCCCTCTGAACTTTACTAAAGCTTACTAAAGTAACTGTTTCTCAGCTTTACTCTGCAAGGCTTTTGAATGTTTCCCATATTGTTGGGAGGTTTGTGGAATCTGTGAGCCTTTAGGAAAAATAAGACTTTAAGAAAGCCAAAAAAAAAAAAAAAAGCACACAATTCCAGAAAGCAGAGCTCTAAAAGTGCATGTGCTCTGAACAAATCATGAGGTTCCTATGAAAATGGGAAACAGAAAGGAACTGATATATAGGAGGCATGGACAGGAAATGAAAGATGAAGACAGGGTACCATCCTGCAGGACACCTAGGTCTGAATGTCAGTGCCACCATACTTAACGATTTGTGTGACAGCAGGAAAAATTTTAAATTAAACTCACCAAACCTCTATCTATCTATAAAGTAGGGAATTATCCTATTTTCTTCCAGGGATGCTGGGGGCGGGGTGAGGAGAAAACAATGATGACAAACAACAGAAGAAAGAAGGCTCGGTAAGGGGTAGTGTGGAACACTAGAAAACCATAAAAGTAAATGAAAATAACTAGACTATAAATGAGCATAAGACACTTTATCAACTTCACAGGTGGATCCTTTGAAAACTGAAATTGTCTCTGAATCATGTATTCACCATGGTGCACAGTGGACAGGAGTGTCTTCCTTTTTACTACTTTGTGAACTCTAAACTTTAATGAGAGGTCTACATTTGATCCCCTTCCAGGACTTCTTCAGCTCTGTGCTCAGAGCTTATGTGCAAGAAAAGCACATGTGACTGGCAGAGATGGGACTGAGTGAGAGAATCAAGTGGGGATGAAGTTTTATGCATTGAGAGAAGCCACAAGGTTTTGGAGGACCCTCAGTCACCACTGCTGGTGGTAGTTACATTGACTTGGAGAGGTTGAAAGAAATATCCCTATAACCTGAGATGCCTTTACTTCCCACTAAAAGCTGAGTCTTCTCAGCTGGCCCATGAGGTAGAAGCCCAAAACTACCTCAGTTTCTCCTGTAGCACCTGGTAAGACTTTCTCTCTCTCTCTCTCTCTCTCTCTCTCTCTCTCTCTCTCTCTCTCTCTCTCCTCTCTTTCTGTGTGTATGTGTTCATATGCATATACACGTGTTTCAACATGTGGAGACCCAGAGGCTGACATCTGGCCTCTTCCTCAGTAGCTCTCCTCCTTAGTTTTTGAAATAAGGTCTCTCACTTAACCTGGAGCTAATTGATTCATTCAGTTAGACTGCTGGCCAGTGAGCTCCAGGGATCCACTTGTCTCTGCTCACCCCCTCCCCCAGTGATGGGGTTACAGAGGCATGGCTCTGTGTCCAGCTTTTATGTAAATGCTGAACTCAGATCCTCATGCTTGGGAGACAAACATTTTACCAACTGAGGCACTGAGGCATCTCTGCAGCCCCTCTTATGAATACTTTCATGAATTGTCTAAAGTCTTCTAGGGTCTTCTAGACACAAACCTTCTGGACACACACACACACACACACACACACACACACACACACACACACTTTTTAGCTGAGGCACTGAGGCATCTCTGCAGCCCCTCTTATGAATACTTCCATGAATTGTCTAAAGTCTTCTAGGGTCTTCTAGGCACAAACCTTCTGGACACACACACACACACACACACACACACACACACTCTTCATCTACCATCTCTAGTTCCAGAAGCTGGAGGCCCAAATGCCCAGTCCCTATTGTAAGATCCAGCCACAGGCTTTGCCTGCATTTCTAACCTTTTACCAACTTCCACCCATGCCAAGGAGAAACAACGACCAAGAGTGCAGTAATATGATCCCCAATTAGCATAATATAAAAACAACTTAGTCATGTTTTCCATGGGCTTTTCCAGCCTCAACCTAAAAGCACAAAGCAGAAAGAAAGAGATAAAAATATATGTGTGGAACTATAAATAGATACATATTGTCTGAATATGTGCAGCCAGGCTCCCTAGCCCAAATGAGTGTCTATCTCAAGAAAACCAAGTGGTCAGATAGAGAAATTGGAGAGTTTTCCCCTTTCAGAGTGCAGTATAGAACTGAGAAGAAGGGTACAGAAGGGGTTAAGTCCTCAGTCATCCTATTCTGAAGTGATTTACGATGATGTGTAGAGTTTCAAAACTTTCTCCCAGCCCAAGCACAGCCCTCTCCCTTCTCACAAAGTCCACTAGACTCTCAGGATGTGCTGAAATGGGAAGGAAGCATGTTTTGTTGATCTGTTAAATTCTTAGTGAAGTTTCCTTGATTTCCAGTAGCTGCTGTTGTTTGAATTCGGTTTGGAGCAAAACTGAGGTAGTCCTGACATTTCTGGGACTGAATCCAGACAAGGAAGAAGAAATAGCGGGAGAAGGAAGAGAGGAGAAAAAGGGGAAGGGGAAAACGTCCTTTTTCAACATCACATTCCTGTGTTTTCCCTCAGCCTGGAAAACATATTAATCCCAGTGCTTTCACACTCGGAAACAAAGGGACTCAGCCAGACTGTGGGGGAAAGGGTGATAAGAAAGATCCTGGAACTCTACAGTGAGAAAGAGCAAGATTTGGAAATTGCTGGACTTCAGTTTAAGGGACGTCTGTATGGCCACAAGAAACTGGCACACATAGATACACCAGACCCAGGAGAAATTGCCGACAAATGGAGATACAAACACTCCCCGGGACAGCTCCTTTCATCTCATCCCACTCGTCCAGAAGGTAAAAAGAAACAGCCAGAAAGAAAAGGAATCAGCCCAGCTCTCAGCTCAGGACAGGCTGGGCTCTGAGAGGCTGCTTTGCAATCCGGAGCTGCAGTTCAGTCCTTTTGTACTGCTCACCCTGGACCAGGAGACAGAGGGCTGAAAGGAAGAGGATTTCATCTAGGAAATTGTCCCAGGGGCCAAACTTCAGATTTCTTTTGAAATCCTCTGCACTCCATCTCTATGAGCCTCGAAGTAAGTGTGTGATCTTTTCTCCTTGGTGTGCTTGTGTGTTTCTTTGTCCTTATTTGAAGAAATGAAGTGTGAATGTTGTCATATTAATGTGCTCAGTTTGCTTTTTCTCTGGAGCATCCAGAGCATTAGTTGAAGCAGTTGCTGCCTGGGCAGTAAGGTTGGATTTCCTGCCTAATGTGGCCCTCTCTGCTAAGCATTGACAATCACCACAGCTTCAAAGCTACCCATACCCCCTCCCTTTGGCCAAGATAGAGATAATGACCAGCTCTGTTTGTGAGTAAATGATTTTCTTTCTTTCTCCTCCCCTCTCTTGTTTTGTATTATGACCCCTCTGCATCCCCAAGTGGATTACACAATGACATGGAAAATGGGACCCTATTTCACCATGCTGCTGACAATGTGGCTAGTATGTGGATCAGAACCTCACTCCCCTGCCACAGATAGAGGGAGCCATGGGGGGCAGAAAATGCCTTTGGTATCTTCAATCAGCAGCAGATCATCTCGCTTTCTGAGGCACACCGGGAAGTCTCATGCAATTGAGAAGTTCACTCAGGAAGAATCAAGCCTTCAGCTTCTCCAAAGAAGGAGGAGTGTACCTGTATTGAGATTAGCTCACCCGACAATGATGCCAGCCCCCTTGGGCATCAACGGAATTCCGGTGAGACCCGAGCTGAGACCCACAGAGAGGAGCCCGCCCCGTGAGGTGGTCCGGGATGAGGGGTCTTCTGCTCGGTCAAGAATGTTGCGCTTTCCCTCTGGGTCCAGTTCTCCCAACATCCTTGCTAGCTTTGCAGGGAAGAACAGAGTTTGGGTCATCTCAGCCCCTCATGCGTCAGAAGGCTACTACCGCCTCATGATGAGCCTCCTGAAGGATGATGTGTATTGTGAACTGGCAGAAAGGCACATTCAACAGATCGTGCTGTTCCACCAGGCAGGTGAGGAAGGGGGCAAGGTTAGGAGGATCACCAGTGAGGGCCAGATCCTGGAGCAGCCCCTGGACCCCAGCCTCATCCCAAAGTTGATGAGTTTCCTGAAGCTGGAGAAGGGTAAGTTTGGTATGGTGCTCCTGAAGAAGACGCTGCAGGTGGAGGAGCGCTACCCTTACCCAGTCAGACTGGAGGCCATGTACGAGGTCATTGACCAAGGCCCTATCCGCAGGATTGAGAAGATCAGGCAGAAGGGTTTTGTCCAAAAGTGTAAGGCCTCAGGTGTAGAGGGCCAGGTGGTGGAGGAGGGGAACAATGGTGGTGAGGGAGCAGGAAGTCCAAGCCTGGGCAGTGAGAAGAGGAAAGAAGACCAGAGGAGAGCACAAATCCCGCCAACCAGAGAACCCCGGGTGAAGGTGCTGAGAAAACAGGTCACCACTAAGGCAGCCACTCCTCCACCTCCTCCAACCCTGAGGGCCACCACCCTTCCTCCTACTCCAGTCACAACGGCCACCCGGGCCACATCCCCGGTGGTAACAGTAGCTGCAAGACCTACAACCACTACCACCTTTCCAACCACCCAGAAACCCTGGACACCCCGCGTGCCTTCCTTCTCAGTCTCCCACAGGCCCCCTGCGACAGCTGAGGTAACCACCGCCAGGGGGCCCTCAGTCTCAGGGCATCTCTCTCCTCCACCTCGGAAGGAGCAGCCAAGAGAGAGGCCTCAGGCCACCAGGAGGCCCAGCAAGGCCACCAGCTCTGAGAGCTTCACAGCCACCCCACCTAGCACCCTCTGGGAGCCCAACACAAGGGCTGCAGGCCCAGGCCGTTTCCGGGACAACCGCACAGACAAGAGGGAACATGGCCATCAGGACCCAAATGTGGTGCCAGGTCCTCACAAGCCATCGAAGGGGAAGCTTCCTAAAAAGAAGGCTCAGGACAAAATTCTCAGCAACGAGTATGAGGACAAATATGACCTCAGCCGGCCCACTGCCTCTCAGCTGGAAGAAGAGCTGCAGGTGGGGAATACGCCCTCCCAGAGTGCAAAGGAGTCCAAAAAGCACGAAAAGCTTGAGAAACCTGAGAAGGAGAAGAAGAAAAAAGGCAGGAGTGAGAAACAGGACAAGTTACTCAAGAGCGAAAAGCAAATGAAGAAGGCAGAGAAAAAGAGCAAGCAGGAAAAAGAAAAGAATAAGAAGAAAAAGGCTGGGAAAGCAGAGCAGGACGGCTACCAGAAGCCCACCGCAAAGCATCTTCCCCCAAGTCCCAGAAAGGCAGTGGCTGACCTGCTGGGGTCCTTTGAAGGCAAGCGAAGACTCCTTGTAAGTAATCTCGGCGTTTTTTTCTGTGACCCAGGTAAAGCATAGATCAGTTTGTCTGATAAGTTTTGTAAAATCACATTTGGATGTCAGACTGGGGTTGAGCTTGGCCCATGTTCAAGAAGCTCAGGAAGTTTGACGGGAAAGTATAGGCAGGCCCATAGCTCCCTTCCATTCAGATTCTCTGTGACATCTCTGATAGGTGTAAGGTAGATTGTGCTTGGCTGAGGACCTTAGACCTGAGCCCAGGGAAGCCCTTGTAGTCAGCTTCTTCCCAAATCTGACAGGACCTTCTTCATCATCACTACTCTCTTCGAAGGGATGAATGTGTTCCTCAAATGCAATGCATTCACTCTAGTTCCAGTTCAGGGTGGCATTTCTCTTTCTCTGCTAAAACTTAGGAATTGGAATGGTGCATGTGGTGAACACAGCAGTTTCAGATCCTTCCCTAATTCTGTCTCTATCAACCCCAGAAGCCTCATGGGGCAAAGTAAGGCTGCCTGGGTGAAGAATGAAGGTAACTGGGAACAAGATAGAGTCTTGGCTGTTGTGACTCTCCCTAACACTTTTATAATAGTGAACAGAAATCTCCCTTTAAAGGCTACCTCCTTTACCACTGTCTAGACTACACAAAAGAGCTTAAAGAACCAGAGGGACTATGTGTGGAGTGAGCTAACTGCTCTGGTTTCTAGTGTCCCAGAGGTGTATCTGAATTTGGAGTTAGATGTCAGTTTATTTCAAGGCTGTATTTAAAATAGGTACATGCATACATGAAGAAGAAAGGAGATGAGCATCCCCTACCTTGTCTGACCTTCTGAATACCACTGGTGTTAAGTATGTTAATTCATCTCTGGAACAATTTTGAGCCACTACTTGCCATTATCTATAAAATGGTAGAAGAATCTAGGTAAATCTGAAGAGGGCTTTAGGCAGGAATAAGCCAATCCTAAATGTAAGGTCTTCCCTCATTAGCCACATGACAATGATTCCTTTTCTTACTCATGACTCCTCCATGTACCCATCTTTTAGAAATCCTCCCAGATTTCTACCCTGGATCCTTAGGCTGTAATTTTAGTCCAGGCTGTCAAAGAAGAACAGGATATGTTACAAAACTTTCAAGGTAAAAGATCAGTAAATTCGTGTTGGGTAATGAGAGTCACAAATGCTTTTCTGGCAGACCTGGTGGAGAGAGCCATGTCAGGTCGTTATGACCGTGCCCCTCCTCCTGAACACACAAGCTGACTCCTGTACTGCATTTGCCCTGAAAGCCAGACAGGCACTTTTCTCTAGTTTTTCCAAAGTGGCCTGAATTTGGATTAATGATATGGGCAGAGGGACTCCGGTGACTATGTATCTTTAGTGGTTTCAACATTTTTAAATGCACATTTGCAATGTTAACCAGAGCAGAGGGCTTTGTGATGTTTATTCTGGGTGGAGCATGTCCTGAATTCTCTTTTTATTCCCATCAACACTAGAGTTATGGATTAGAACAAAACCTAAGCTCTGACTGATCTTAAAGGAGTATATTCATGTGAATGTATTAAGTATGTTGTTACCATTTTAACCAGATCTTTAAAGTGACTGTACAAATTTAGGTCATCAGATGATAAGCTGCCTATTAAAGTAGTTTAACAGCTACTTGAATATCTCCAGAATCTATAAACTAAAATGGAAAAATTCCAATTAGAGCCATAAGAATCACAGATTTCAGAGTAGAACTGTAGCTGGTACCTGAATGTTTGTTCAGGGACCCATGGGGTCAAGCTGCTGTCTTAGGGGCATGGAAAGCCATCAGTACCTGGGCTGGCTGAATCACTTTTGAGTGCCTGGGACTCAGTCCAGCCCAGTAAAGCACTCTCTCACCCAACTCTGTCCATTTAGCCAACAAGGAAGACAAAGCATTCCTCATGGCCAGGTTTTAACACAAAAAGAAGTGGTCAGGGTACAATGTCAGGATTGTAATCGAGAGCTGACAAATACTTCCATAGCCCCGAGCAAGTAAGTAAAAAGAAAGGAGTTTTCATGTTCCATCTCTGAAGTTAGCCATGCTTTCAATTTCTCCTGCTTTTTCTCTACTCTCTTAGCTGGTGATCTGGATACCCAGCTGGGGCTTTTCTGCTTTTAACAGTGTCCCTGGTCATAAATTGCTATCAAATGAAGTTCAAAGGACAGCTTCTGCAGACGTCATGTGAGGCAAAGCAGAAACCAGCTGGAGCTGGCCCTGTTGCCAGTGTAGGCTCATTGGAGCTAGCCAGAGAATCAGGTTTGTTATTAGAAAGAAAAAACCAGCAGGAGGCATTTCCGTCTTTGGGTCCTGTGTGTGACCAGCTGATCACATCACAAATGTATTTTCTGAAGTGCTAATGATGTATGAAGAAAGACTGGATTAGAAAAGACCAGATGAAATTGACATATCAAAGCAAAACACAGAGAGGAGCTTCACCAGACAGGGAGGAGACCAATGCTTCTGGATGAAAGACATTACTGGTGCTGTTAATCCTTCCCACTCACTTTTTCCACCCCACTCTGCTGATGTTATTCAGGAAGCTTGGTGATTCAGCTGATATTCCTTAAAGCTTAGCTGTCTCAAGCTGTCCAAGTATGGCTGAGAACATTTACTTCTGGACTCAACTCAGTCCGGTGTGCTCAACCTATGAGCAGGTTTGCCTGCCAGACCTTCTGGTGTGTCGCCCCAGCTTTTCAGTAACCAGATCCCTGGTTACTAATTTATCATAAAATCCCTGGTGCTTTGTATTCATTTACGCCATTCTTTAGATGTAAAGACATCCCACAACTGATATTTCACCAATTTCTTAGAGAAGCCCTAGCAGCAACTGTGTAAGTTGTGGTTGGGTGAATGGCATCCTAGAGATATTCAAAAGCAGTGTAGATGGAGACAGATGTCCTGGTTTTAGGACAGAGCTCCATCCTTCAAGGCCCCTGTGTCAGAAAGCGTATGCAAATTTAATTCTTACAATAATCCCATGAGGAACGATCTATTAACCCTTGTTTACAGATGAGGAAAACAGTTTAGATGGGTTGAGATGTTACTCAAGGCATAGAACTAATATATAACGAAGTCAGAATCGGACCTGTCTGATTTTAAAGTTCAAAGTCATGTTCTACTACATTGTCTCTTCCATTGGATATGAACTTTCTATGGTTTAGGCCATAAAGAGAGAGGGAATTTGAAGAATCAACCTTGTGGTTAATAAGTATGAACATTTAAAACTTTATTTAGGGACTAGTAAAATGGCTCAGCAAGTAAAGGTGCCTGTCACTAAGCCTGACAACCTGAGTTCAATACCTGGAACCCACATAGTAGAAGGAGGGAATCAACTCCTGAATGTTATTCTCTGATTGCCACATGTCTCTCTCTCTCTCTCTCTCTCTCTCTCTCTCTCTCTCTCTCTCTTGTCTCACCTTCGCGATCCCTCTCTCTCTCTCCCTCCTCGTCTCCCTCTCTCTCTCTCTCTCTCTCTCTCTCTCTCTCTCTCTCTCTCTCTCTCTCTCTCTCTCTCCCTCTCATACATACACAGAGAGAGAGAGAGAGAAAATAAATTTAAAAAATTTAAAACCTTATTTTGAACTTTGAGTTATCAAGATAGGTGGTCAGATATAGTAATTGTCATATTTTATGCTAAGTGCAAATGTGAAGTTTCTGCCTTTATACACAGCTCAGCTCTGACTTTCCAGGCAGTTGGTCAAGAACAGTAGACTGATTCCATTTACCTAGTCTTTCAGACTGCCTTATGTCCATTTGGGGCTGTGTTTAGTGAGAGTATAGGTAGAACGTAAGTAAACAAACTGTTTATGACTAAAACATTGGTCCTTACAGAGCAGACCTGACAAGGCATCATTTGGTGGTCTGAGATCTACCAACTTGTCAGGTAACAAGAGGCTTCAATACACTGAACTGCATGAATTCAAGTGCAAGTTTCACCTTTATTTGGCGACCGAGTATCCTATAATTCAAGTGGATTAATATTTTCACCCTCACTTCAGAGACCTGGATATTGGGATAACAACCTGCTTACTTGGTTTAATTTTAGGAAAGGATTTAAAGTTCTGTTTTACAAGGGAGACTCCTAGCTTGAAAGTTTGTTTTTTGTTGGTTTTTTTGTTTGTTTGTTTTGAATCCTGGAAAAGATCTAGTGTTTCAAGCCTAACACAGTACTTAGAATAATCTGAGACTTAAAATATCTTCCCCTAGCATCTTCTGATTTCTATTCATTCCCTTTACTTATAACCCTGCTTCATTAGGCCTTGGGGCTCCTAGAAGCCAACACACCCCTGGTGCAGTAACACAAATGAGATCATGGTATAATTGCAAATTCACGATACATGCTCTGATTTACTGCCACCAAACTGGAAAGAGGCCAAACAACAGTAATGCACACTGAGGTCTGTGTTCTTTCTAGGAAGAGATTAGAAACAGTTTCCATTTTAATCACTGTTGAAACTGCTGCCAGCTTAGAAAGGGAATGTGATGGAGATGTAAACACACAGGGGAAGAATCTAGGCCATGTGTCAGGTGATCCCCAGCCTGTGTTTTCCCTGTGCAAACTCCAGCAACAGATTAAGTGTAAGGGAGAGAGGGTCTTTCCATCTGGTTCATAGACTGTGCCTAGATATTCATAACGAGGGATTCCCATGTTTCTGTGCTCCCTCCTCCCTAGCTCTGGATGTAGCCTGAGGCATCTGGGCCACAACTAGTATAAATACCCCCACCATCAGAGGGTAGCAACAGGGTCTGAGGACTCAGTACCTTGAGGAATTTGACGTCAATATAAAAAATAAAGTAGATGCATAAACACCGTGTGAACTGTACAGACAAGCAGAACTGTGGTTAAAGGAGGAAATGGTTGTGATACGGTAGTAGGGGAGCCCATGGGAAGCTGGCGGGGTGTGTGGGGGGTGACATGGGCAAACACAGTGGAAGGAAAGGGAGGCAATAGACATGGTTGTGCTCAGATGCACAGCCTGTATAAGTATATACAAATATTGTTCAATTCTTACAACTTTAGGAAGTTAGCACAGAGCTTGTTCTACAGCCAGGGGTTGAACCAAGACAAAAATGCCGGCCCTCAAACTTCCATAGTCCTTTCTCTGTGCCACTCTGTGCCACTTTAGTTCCTTTTATTTCATGACTGAGATTGGTCTGATTATGAGGGCAAAGAGATTATATAAACCTAGGGTGAGATCCTTCCAAGCCGGAAGGCAGAAGGGAGTCGTGTGAAACAAATGTTGCCTCCCCAGTGGATTAAGGCATCCCTGGGCAAAGGCTCCAGGTGAAATTGAGCCTGGGAGGATTTTGTTTCTCTGAGATTCCTGCAGGACATCCATTGCCAAACACTACTGTGACCAGAGCTATGTGGGAGACGCTGCCTTATGGGGAGGAAGAGCATCTCTGTGATTACATATTGTCCAAAATTCTTAATTATACATGCCTGGGGGAGAAGACTTGAGGAGGCTTTGAGAGCTCTTAGGACCTGATCCTATCAGGGTCTGTCTGTGGACCACAGGGCTCCATGACAAACAATGAAGAATGTGCTTGTCAAGTAATTCACAGAGGCTGGTAATTATCACTCATCTAGCATCTAGGAAGTTGTGACTTGAATGCCTCTGTTTTGACTGAGAATCCAAAATCATTAACAGTCAACCTTTTTTCTTACCTTCGTTTTCAATGTTTTATGTTCTCACTTAAACATGTGTTATGCTTATTCCAAAATAATCTGTTTATGAGCAAAGAAGAGCCAAGAAAGAAAAATCTAAAATATGTCAAGTTAAAATAAAAATTCACGGACTAGAAAGATGGCTCAGCAGTTAAGAGCACTGGCTCCTCTTACAGGGACCTGGGTTCTGTTCCCAACACCCACATGGCTGCTAACAACTGTTCTTGACTCCAGTTGCAAGGAATCTGATGCCTTTTCTGATCCCCTCTGTCACTGCAGGCAATATACTCATACCATAAAATAAAATAAAATAAAATAAAATAAAATAAAATAAAATAAAATAAAATAAAATAAAATAAAATAAAATAAAATAAAATAAAATAAAATAAAATAAAATAAAATAAAATAAAATAAAATAAAATAAAATAAAATAAAATAAAATAAAATAAAATAAAATAAAATAAAATAAAATAAAATAAAATAAAATAAAATAAAATAAAATAAAATAAAATAAAATAAAATAAAATAAAATAAAATAAAATAAAATAAAATAAAATAAAATAAAATAAAATAAAATAAAATAAAATAAAATAAAATAAAATAAAATAAAATAAAATACAAAATAATAAAAAATTTCAAAATTCAGTTTACTATGTCAAACAAATATAGCTTAAAATTAAAAGCAAACTAACCAAAAATATGACCAACATATCTTTTCTAAAAAACAACTTACATTTTTTTAAGGTTAAGTATGAATCAATGAATAAATTTTAGGGGGTATGTAGAATTGTATTATTTTCCCCATGTGAATTAAATTTTTTAAAAAACATTTTTCCTGGTCACTACATCCATCTGAATAGGCATATAAACAAAATAAAAAATGAAGTGGAGTATGTCTACTTGAAATAATGAACTGAGAAATTTTTTTATTAAAAAAAAATCCCAGAAAACCTTTCCTAGTGTTCCAGCCATAGGCTACCAAATGCATTTTAATTTCCTTGAGGGAGAATATTTTGTTAAGCACTGAGATTTCTAGCAGAGAAAATCTCCAGGCAGCAATAAACAAATCTGACAGAGTAAAATAAACAGTAAGATCGCCTTGGGACCAAATTGACTATTTTTGATAAAATATTTGAAAGTGGTTAACAATGTGGTAACATTCCCTTACCAAAAATGCTAACCTAATCGACACAGTTTTTAAGAAGAGTTGGTAAGTTTGGGTGGGTCAATAGAAAAGTGGCTGCTAAATTTGAATGTGGCCAAAATGTAAGAAAATATTTACAGAAATAAAATATAGCGGTCTGTCTCACACTCAAAGGTGAGCCAACAAGGGTTGATGGCTCTTTGATGTCACGCACCCCATGAGCTCTCGGGTCTAGGAGATCAACAAGGGTCTGGTCATCATCAGAGTAGACCTTTATGTCCTCCCACCTCCAGTGTGAGCAGCATCTTGCAACCCCTTCTCAGAGTGTGGGAAATAGTTCTGGTTCCAGCTCAGGGAAAAATCTGTGACACTGGAGAAGGCTCCAAAAATACTCAACTAAAATGATCAAAGGAGTGGAGAAGCTTTTGTGTTAGGGTAAATTAAAGACACTGAGGCATTCTTAGAGAGGGGTTTCAGGAGAATCTAAACAAATAAATAAAATAATTGAAACATCCTCATTTTAATTAAAACAATGAAATTCAGTTTTTCAAATGACTGGTGATTAAAATATCTCTTAACTGCTTTGTCTTTTCCTCTTTTCCCCCAGAAGTCAAGGGAGGAAAATTCCCAGGTCTGACTTGGAGAAAAGGCCAAAATAGGGCAGTTAAAACCCTCCTGTTGGGGGGGCAGGTCCAGTATCAAGAACCATACCTGCAGAGTCCCAATGTGGCACTGAATATCATCTATGTCACAAAATATAGCCAGAGGGCCATCATAAAAACTGTCTTCAAGGTTGCCTAATAAAAATTCTAAACCATAGAATGTTCTGTAGTGCCCAAGGCCTGGCTGTGAAATGCTTTTTAACACTGTGGAATGTGAAAAAAAAAAAATGCAAGCATTGAATTAACCAGTGTCTGAGTAGCCAATTAGGATTATGAAGATGAAAATGACAGAAGGCAGATAGCTACTGCACACCAAATATTCATAAAATATAGTGGAGTTGAAAACTAAATGTTCCTGTGTGTGCACAAAGAGAACCATGATACAAAGTGAAATGACAGCAAATACGAGACCTGCTTTAAAACATCTAAACTCTCTGGACTAATGTTTATTTTTAATATTTTATTTATTATTTTTTTTACTTTATGTGTATGAGTGTATTGCCTGCATGTGAGTGAGTGCACTGGTGTCGTGCAATGCCACGGAGGTCAGAAAAGGGCTTTGGATTCCCCTGGAACTGGAGTCAAGGACGGTTTGTAGTCGTCATATGGGTGCTGGGAATCGAACCCGGGTCCTCTGCAAGAGCAATCAGTGCTCTTAACCACTGAGCCATCTCTCCAGCTCCCAGACTAATGTTTTTTTAAAAGGCCATTCAAATAGATATTTGGGACTTTTTATTATGCCAACTGTTGAAGAAAGCAGTCTACAGTTTGGGCACCCTTTATTCCAAGTCATCTCTGGGTTTGGCCTCAGTGCAAATTGAATACTGTGAACTGATACATGCTTGTCCTCACCCTCCTCCAGTTAATCACTGCACCCAAGGCTGAAAACAACATGTACGTGCAGCAGCGCGATGAGTATTTGGAGAGTTTCTGCAAGATGGCCACGAGGAAGCTCTCTGTGATCACCATCTTCGGCCCTGCCAGCAACAGCACCATGAAAATCGACCACTTTCAGCTAGGTTCTCTTAAGCATTTTAATTATAGTATTGTTTTCCTCATATCTATGGTGGGATAACTGTTATGGGAGAGTTCTTTGGGGTGTAGGAGGATCAAAAGAAACACTCGGCTGTCTGGAGGGCTCTTTGGTTGCAGTGACGAAGATGAGCTTGCCTACCTGTTTACCTAGCCATGGCAGGAGGGTTCTGGCTTAAAGTTGCAGCATTTTAAAATGGAAGCTAGGCAAACAGTCTAGTCTTGTTTGAAAGTCAAAAAGGTGGAAGGACAGGAGAAGAGTGATATGTGATGGGGGAGAATCAGAGAACTACTGCAGCCCATCTCCTAGTGCCCTGGTCTTCTTGCCAGTGAGCAGCAGCTGCCAACATGCTTGCATGTTTTATGCTACAGGTGACTTATCACACATGGGGACCTGCCAGACTCCTAGATGCTGGCAAGCCTGAGGAGGGAATTAACTAGAGTTGAGAGAAGCTTAAGTTAAATGAAAAGTCACTGAAAATTTGGACTGAATCTTGCCCAAATCCTTTTGGAGAGCAGTAGAATTTGGGTGAACTTAGGGTTTTCACAGTTTTTCATGTTGATGATGCCTGTGAGCTTCATGAGACACACAGCTCAGCGTAGAGCAGTTGAGGGCTCACTCTCTGCAGCTGCCATTGGAATGTTGCAATAGTCACTGTGATTAGTTAGGCTTCATACTCAGAATGCCAGAAGCAGACTCAATGGCTTCTTTTATAAGTGTTATATTTCTAAAATGTTATTTTTTGACAGTTTCATATATATGAGACTATCAAAAAATTATATATATA